CTCTTTCCTTGTTATTTGTCACTATGTCTAATTCTCTATCCTCATTAGATTTGAATAAACAAATCTGCTTTACCGATCGCATATCGCTTACCACAGTGAATCCAGATAAAAAAAATAACCTAACCCACACTAACACAACTTTCCTTCCAATGGCAATCGTAGAGACGCAAAGGTAAACACAGTCTCTATAACAACGGTTTAATCCTTTCCCTTCCCAAATGACCTGATCATCTATAAATAGCTTGAATTAATAACTTGCACATTGAAGATGATAAGCTAATTCCAAGCGCCATATATGTAGTTCTCTGTGCAACCCATTTGTTCTAATCAAAAATGGAGCAGCAAATACGATATCCACGTTCTTTTTATAAAAAAAACTACAAGGGACAGCCCTATGGGGTTTTACCGTTGTTCGCAATGATGACGTAGAACCAACCGGTGAAAACTCGTGTTTATTTCAGTTACCATGGGGACGTAATTTGTGATTAGCCCCGGTCCCTTTCAAATTGTATCATTATTTATGTACGGTCCTTATATTTTAAATGACGTTTCTTATTCATCTAGTGATGGCCGATTTTTATTCGAATAATCGATTAATCGATTAACGAACCGAAAAGTAAAATATTTGTAATCGGTTATATCATGCCGATATAAGCATTAACATCTCCAGAGGATCATCACCGATCGTTTCAAACATGTGCTGCACTCTCATTGGAGGAAAAATGGTAGCACAGCGAACAAAAAAATAATCGATTGGTTGTTAATCGAGTAATTAAAAAATGGGACATCTCTGATTTTGGTGTGATTGTTTGATAAAAATGAGTGCAAAATTTCATCTCTACCGAGGGGGCAGCAAAACCACAAAATTACCTTGCATACGGGGGGTTTTCATTGGATGAAAGGGACCGTGAAAGAGGACACTAAAATAGAAAGTTTTTCTTCCGACAGTTTCATCTTAGTATTCATCTTTGATTTAACCTCCGAAACCGTACAGAGTGTGTCTGTCGCGTCAAAGGAGACAGCATCACGGATCACATTTTCCAGAAACACTTTCAGCACACCTCGTGTTTTCTCGTAGATCAGACCGGAGATACGTTTGACACCGCCACGGCGAGCCAGACGACGGTTATCACGAACAATCTTGCGATGACGCTTGGCGCCTCCTTTACCAAGACCTTTCCCTCCTTTGCCACGACCAGTCATTGTTGCTTGTTGGGTAGAAGAGCGGACTACCTAACTTGCCACCACCTTCCTACTGCTGCTATTGCTGCTTCTGCTGCCTACTCACCATGCCGTCCGAAGACAGCAGCGCTCTTTTATATCTTTTCAGGTTAAAGCAGCAACCAAGTGGTACTCGCTTATGACGGCTGGGTTTGAGAAGAACGTTTATTTCATAAAAAACAGTGATAACATTATCACTTTTTATTTTTACATTGGACAATGCTTGGCAATTCCAATGCTTCAGTAGTTTTAATGTTCAAAATCTTTAATAATTTTGTTACATGTTCCATTTTCGGTTTTCACAAAGTGTACCCCGATATAGAAATCACAGGCGTAGTCCTACGTTAAAATAACCTGACCCACACTAACACAACTTTCCTTCCAATGGCAATCGTAGAGACGCAAAGGTGAACACAGTCTCTATAACATCGGTTGTACTATTCATCCTTTCCCTTCCCAAAAGACCTTGTGGACGTGGCCGGCGCCCGGTGCTGATCATCAATAAATAGCTTAATAACTTACACATTGAAGATGATAAGCTAATCCCAAGCGCCATATATGTGGTTCTCTGTGCAATCCATTTGTTCTGATCAAAAAAGGAGTAGCAAATACGATATCCACGTTCTTTTTATAAAAAAATTAGACCTTTTTCATACTGTCGGAACGTGTACGCTGGTCACAAATGTCTTTCTAAATTGATTTCCATTTCGCGAATAAACCCGAGGAGCATTTCCGGGGGAGGGAATTTGCGGCTGCGGCCAGAAGACAGAAAATGATGAACTCGGAGGTTTAACCGAATGCCTCCAGAAGCGAATTCTGGCCTTCATCCAGTCACATGATGGTCCAGTGACATTTTGGCCGGATCTTACGAGTTGTCATTACAGCCCGGAAGTACAACAATGGTACAATGACAACATAATCCAGTTTGTTCCGAAAACCCAGTCCGCCCAATTGTCCCCAGCTCAGACATTTGGTGGGATAAAATCGCCAAAACAGTGAACAAGACCGTTGTGCGCCGCTTGATGGGCCATTTTTAAGCAAAAGTTCGAGAATTCCATCGAAACCGCGACGAATAATCGTATTTTTTCCTTAACATATAAGGAATCGTATGCACTTGAGTGAAAACCGTTTTCAAATCCGTTAATTCTAATCCGAGATAAACCCAAATCAGGGGAAACATGTCAGAAGGGTCTAACTCGAAACGTAAACAATGACTTGGGTCGTCGATTTCTTGCGACTCGGTGATGTAGTGGTAAGCGTGATTACCTCTCACCCCAGCAGGCCTGGGTTCAATCCCAGTCGGCGCCACCGGGATGTTCTGAGGCATAACATCTCTGATCACGCCTTCCTTCCGAAAGGAAGTAAAGCCGTTGGTCCCCGGTTCATGAGTTGATGGGTCGTTAGGTAGGGTCCAGGTGTGGGAGCTGCCTTCCTGGCAGCATTGGTAGCATTGGTGCTCAGCACGGAAAACAAAACCGACGGAAAACAAAATCGACGGAAAAAAAATCGACGGAAAACGAAACCGACGGAAAACAAACCAAAGGAGAAAAAAAACATCTGACTGAGCAATGTTTGTTCTATGAGCTGGTGTAGTCAGATTCCGTGGGTGTGTGGTCATTCAAGAGAAATCGACGGTCAAAGTCATTGTTTACGTTTCGAACTATACCCTTCTGATATGTTTGTTGATGTTGTTCTATTACTAAGTGGGCCACCCTTATAAAATTGTTATGGTTATTTTGCGTAGCGACGTGTTCGGAGTATCATCCAAACCATTTGTGGAATAGTTCTATTATTTGGGTTATCGTTAGTTTATGATATTTTTTATTAGGGTATGCTTTATTCCAAAAATACACATAACATCATCTAATCGTCGGAATATAGCTCACTCTGAAGAAAATACTACACTTCCGACGGAACCGAAATCATTGGAATCCCAAACTACAGCTTCAGCAACCAGAATTCCGTTGAAAATACATCTGAAGTTATCCTTAGTTCGGCCATAAAATCCTGCACCGGCGAACTTCTTTAGAAAAATGTTATCGAGTGGCTGATAGCCTCCGATCAAAAATCGAAAAAAACGCGACGGAAAAACATAGACGATCAATTTGACAACCGGAAAACTTTCACGTCAGCTTAGACGCAGGGCACACTTCGATTACCTTATTCTCTCAAGGGGGCTCATCAGTTGAGATTTGCCATAAATTGAAATAAGTTTCGGATGAGCTTTATAGAAAGTAATGAATCCAAAAACAAGTGTTACCAAAAACGGGAAGGCACTGTATAATTAATTAATTTGACTGAAAGTCGCTTACCGTAATACCAACCGGTGGAAACTAACGATTTTAAATTGGCTCACTACTTGACTAGCCTATTGGTCCCAAGCAAACGATTAACGTACCCCATTCTAGTCGAAATTCTAGTACTACACTATGTTAGTTTTGATTCGCTATGAATGTTTGACAGACAAAATGAGGGGTTCGTGGATCTTCCTATGTTTCGAGGGGTGCATCGATTAGCTTGGGACCGAAGAGAGTACCAGAGCTGAGCCAAAAAGTTGAGCACGTTTCTTCGGGACAACTTTAGTTTAGAAAGCGGACGTGATATTATAGAATGATATACTGACCAGAATGACTGCTGGCTCATTAAACGATCTACGAATGCAGATGATTCAATTAGCAGTATAGGTCAGAAACATCCAGGTTCAACCCCCAATAAAATGTATTCCTTATGCATTGCCAATTATTGTGAACTCTCTGCCGTGGAGATGACGAGGGAAGTCTAACGTGCCGTGCCTGCTTCGTTTTAGAAAGGTCATCATCGCGCGGGTTACATTTTAAATAGAAAGATAACTTTCCATAGAATGACAAACCGGCAAGACACCCAATGACTTGGCTTCTTTACTAACTACTGCATATTGTGCTTATTTATGTGTATTGCTGAAAAGGGCATCAATTAACACTAATGGACGACCGACCCGATGTCAATCTTACAAGGTCTGGTTCAACCGGCTTCTTCTTATTCTTCTTTCCTTTATTTAACGTCGGTCTCTGTTCCGCAATCTAGTGCCAATCACCGACGGACATCGATTGCCATGCATTGACGGCAATCGAATGTGCAGGAAGGCAGCTTCCACACCTGTGTAGGATATCAAACCCATTCAAACACAATACATGGGCCGGGACCAACGGCTTTACTTCCCTTCCGAAGGAAGATGTGACCAGAGATTTTTATGCCTCAGAAAAATCACACCGACCTCGGCTGGGATTGAACCCAGACCCATTGGGGTGAGAAAGCAGTCACGCTTACCACTACACCACCGGCACCGGCGTCCAACCGGCTTATTGGGATTATTGTTTAGTATTCAGGGCAAAGTTTATATTTTTACACGAAACAGCTGTTTTCTGTAACGTCACGTCTGCCGTTCGCATAGCAATGTGTACAACTTTTTTGTTTCTAACACGGGCAATGTGCCTGCTGTTCCAGACCTTACATGATTGCCATCGATCGCGACCGAATGCCGTGTTTTCCCCACATTCGATGTCATCATGCTATTCCGCAACTACTCGACCGAGAGCGGTAAAACAACAACTACTCATCATCAGTTAACCACTGAGCTTGACCGGTATCAGACCAGAAATACGTTATCGCTATTACCTATTCGAGTGCATGGCCAAAAATTAACTGCAATCGCAGACAGTTTAATCTTCCGTAAAAGCAGAAGTGTTTTGGTGAGTTTTAAGTTTCCAAAAATGAATATTGAGTAAATCGATTTTCGCTAGTGGATTGTAAAGTTTACCCACCCTAATGTTCATCTTTAGTAATCAACTGTCAAATTCGAATTCATAGGTAAGTCGATATAGTTTGATCTAGTAATCCTATATTAATTAGAGTGCTTTGGAATGTCAGCGCTAAATCCAAGATTATTGAATAATCATGCATATTTGCACCGATCAGTAAAACGATCTGTTGTTGGACCATTGCTGCTAAACAATGCTAACGTTATATCATTTCTTAGCATGCTCAAAGCGAAACAGTTTTAAAGTTCAGCAGTGTTGAATAGGGTAGATGTACAAGTTATTTCTATACGTTAAAATTGGGGGCTGTTCATAAACCACGTAGACACCTTAGCGCTAGTGGGTAAGTGTCTACGGTCCATACAAATATTTTCAAAAATTTAAAACCTCTCAGAAACTGTCTACCTAGTTTATGAACAGCATGGTACATCCACCCTAAATTCAATGTTACCAAGTATTATTCATCACCATCACCTCTTATCGATTCGCTACGATCAGAATCAGTTGAGCCGATGTTTAGTTTTATTCTAAACTCTAAAGCAACAAACTTTCTAATCTGCGTAAAATCATGTCATGACAGTCTATTGAAACCGTTTCTCAACTCTAGCTGCTATGTGTTGTTGGCTCAGGTCCCGTTCGAGCTCAGTGACCTATAAGATAAAAATGCGATATTCAAATTTGGCGTTTTCGTTCTTAATCATTTACGGTAAGTCCTTTCGCACATAATTTCATATCAAATATTACTCATATTTGCTATTTCAGCCTTTTTTGTTTGGAACGTAACTGGATGCGTTGACACGGACACGATCGATTTGCTAGGATCGCGTGACCTGGGACTCAAAATGGATGCCATGTGTCTGCAGAGAACTGGATCTGAGAAGGTGTACAGACGGTTCGTCGCCGCCATTCAAAACCTAACCAGCTGTATTAGTTCAAAACTGGACCTGGACCAGTTGCAAGACGATTTGGAGCTACTGTCTTACTCGAATCAGACTCAGTTTCTTAGCAAGTATGTTTATCTTGTTGGTGGTACAAATCATGTGAATCATTCATTAACATTCCAATAGGTATTGTCCGAATATCACCAAGTCGATAAATTGCTTGAAGCCGATTTTATCCATAGTTGGGCAATGTTTCGATCTGGATGGGTTGGAGAAGCTGAACGCTCTGAGAAATGTTGGCCTTCCACATGCAGTGAGTTTTCTTTGTGTCGGCCGGAAGAATGGAACTATATTTTCAAGTAATTCATTAGTCGTTGATTGCTGTTGGAAATTGAAACAATTGCAACTCTTTTCAGATCCATCCGCTAACTTTGAGGAATGCTTTCGGAATGGCCTTCAGTGCTGGGACGAGCTTTTCATCGGCCTGGACTGGGCCAGTTACGGACCGGAGGAATGTGCTAGTATAGTCCGGCGAAGGAAGTGCGTTGCCGATGAGATGACCAACTGTGGTGCTCCGAGATTGGGACAACTGTTTGAGTATCTGTTCGAGCCGTTGTTTCGATTTACTCCTTGCAGTAGTCATAGTTATCCCCTCGATCAGTGGGAAATTTATCAATAAAACTATTTAAACTGATTTAGTTCTGAACATGGTCCGGCAAATTCATACTTTCCCGTGACTAAGAATTTTCTGAGCCCTTGTCCTACTACTGTACATTTGTCAATTGGGCTAATGCTGACAATACAGGTAATGGAATAATCAACTCAATCAACAAACAAATTTGTAGATCGTAACATTTGTAGTGAAAATCCTATCTATCCTACTTGGTCTGACGCTTCCACTAGGTCCATCCCTTTGAAGGAATGAACAATCAACCTTCACCGCGTTTGGATCCGTCTATGAATGTACATTGGAACGGTTATCCGCCGTGCACTGCACTGTGAACTCAATTTCCCCTACCTATACGTGTATCGTACAAAACAATCCCTTTTCTATCCTCCCTATATTTGCAACTATAGCATTACTCCAAACGCCATCGTTTTACCATATTTATTTTGTTGTTGATTTTCTGCACACTATTTTCTTATCGCGAAACCGATTTGACATATATTTTCACAAATCGCGCTCCGCACCACACTCGTTCCACACTTTCGCGGGTTAGCTTACTGCCACGCGCCAGGGAACCGTCGTCACATGTTTCACATATCCACCAAACTTCCAGCCTCAGCAGAACGTGTGCCCAACGACGACAACAATAGAGACACGTGTGAGGAATTTGTACGATCCAACAAACTTTCACAAACAACCGAATCAGGCAAGCAACTGAACCACTGAACTCTGCTGCTATGTAGGTTCATATGTCTAGGTACATTTAGCTAGGTTATTGTGTTAAGGATATCATTTCACAAACATGACCGCAACTCGCAAAACTGTGCTCCTTCAACCTCGCCGGGAGCGATTACCTATAACTGCCCCAATATTCCGGTAGGAGTGAATCGTTATTCTGAAGCGTGCTTTTCAGTAGTTGTTGGTTTGAAAAAAGCAATTATGATTCGCACAATTTCCCAGCATGATAGATAGCGATGTTGGTGTTTGGTATTTGGTTGGTTTGTTACCCCCCACAGTCAGTAGTGGGCATAGAAACATAAATTGTAGGTCTATCGAATTACAGTGTTCTTTCGCTAGTTATAAATGCATTTAAAGAAATCTCAGGACTAGGACTAAGTTAGTGAAAAAACAATGGATTATAAAATTTCGAACATCAAAACACCCCTTAAATCGCGATAATGATAGTAGACTTATCTTGTAGTCGTATACTTAACGTCAGGGCGTGTAGCAGCTCACATTTTTAGTGGCTAGGTCACTAAGTCAGTCACTAAAATGTCACTTTTTTACCTAAAAGTCACTATTTCTTCAAATTTAGTCACATTTTTGCGACCAATAACGTTGAGCGTAAAAAATTTGCCTTGAAAAATCACTTCAAATCACAGCTTGATTTGGTAACAAATTTGTGCCAAATGATTAATTAAAAATCAGCGTGTTAAGTCCGACAAAGAACAATTGCAAACAAACCAGAACTTTCTAATTATCATCACTAATCATAATCCCTAATATTTTGTTTTTTGTTTTACTTTGGACTACGTATTTTGGCAACATATTGGGGAGCAATTTCAAAAAAACTAAAATCAACCACGTTACGAAAAGTGGTCAGGTTTTGCCAAATTATAACTCTGTCAATAGCGGATGGATTTTTAATTCTAAACAAACCAATCGATTGAAAAATTTTCAACAAATCTTTTAAAATTAAGACTTTATCAATTTTCAAAAGGTCACGAATGTGCAACTGTTGCTATGGTAATTAAAATTATCACCGCCTTTCCTTATATAAAAGCGCTTTCCCTAACACAAAAATTTCAAAATCGAATTCCATCCGGTCTCGCTGAACGGTGTTTATTCAATCACATGACGTTGTACATTTTTCTTCAGTACACAACGAAAGGCTCCCCGCAAGTTATCAAGGCTGCCATCAAGAGCCCTCGATTCACCGAAGAAGGAAGGAGAAGCCGCACCGCTACTGATCGGATTCAGTTGTTCGTCGTGAGCCGCTGTGGGAGCGATGCCAAGCGCGTCACCCTCGTTCCAAACAACATACAGCTTGCCAGCCTAATCCGTATTGAACACCCTAATAGCTCAGCAATACTCAACCATCACAACAAAACGGTTCTTTTCAGGACCACCATAAATTATTGTTGTTTAAGCGTTAATTTTCATTGAACGTTCGCTCGCCCTGCTGCGACCCACATCACCCCCAAAGCTCTTTGATAATGCACCCTGCAAAATTCTTGCAATGTTTGAGTACCACTTGACCTTGTGGCATTGACCGAAAATTTCGTGCGTTTTGCGCACGAAAATGCGTAATTTCGTCATCAAAAAACTAGGCGTTTCCGTGATGGGAAAAAGTGCCTTGGATACTGTGAAGCTCCGACTGGCCATCTAGGAATCACCCAGCGCTGTTGCTGGCTAGTCTGCGGAAACACGTCTTACCTTTTCGAGCACTGAAGATGGAAAGCCAAGTGCGATGGCGGCTCTCATGGTTCATGCTTGGTCTGTGTAGAGTTTGCTCTCCAAGCTCGTCACAGGGTATTTCGCCCAACCTTAGTTCATGCAACACTAAGACATATTCAGCCCACACATCTCCCTTCCTCAGAATAAAATGGAAATACAATCTCTTTAATTTACTTATTATAGAGTACTGGCACTTCACAACAAAATTTGCTGAAAAATTTCAACTGTCCCAGGTTATCTTTGTACTAAGCCCTCGACCAAGCCTAACATCTGTGGATCTTGTTCACCGGTTTTCTTATATCGTAGTTTGTTTGCTTCAGTTGGTTCAGTTATTATGATTCAGAAACTGTCAGACAATGTTACGGGTTCCAATATCTGCCTTATGCATGCTGTTGAGTTCTCGTTCTATTTTCAACTCTTCTGCCAAATCGTGGTACTTCGTTATCTTGGCTATTATAATTCTACGGAGATTTTCAATACTCACCATACCCATTTTGTTTGGGTTAATACCGCATTTGACGATCTGCAGCACCTCTCTCTATATATACATCATCGGTACTAGGGCAAGTGCACCGACGAATGTGATTTGTACCAAGAGATTGAATGCAATTTAACATCTTGAAATTATGAAAACCATCAAAAAGGTGGTCAAATAGGAACACGACCAATACTGGTGCGTTTCCCTTACTCTTGTATGGGTAGTTTCGCTCATCAGTTATTGAGATTCCTTTTTTGCAAATGGGCCATTGATCGAGCCATTGATTTGGTTCCAAAATCTTTTTTTTTCCTTCTTATGAGTGGGTACATAATTCTTACCGTGTAGTATTCGGAACTATAACTCGATTTTGGGTACTTTTTCCCTACCGTGCACGTGCGTCATAGCCCATATATTTTACATTGGGTTCAGCTGTTAATTTTTTTCATTCGTCTGCAAATCCTGCAAATCAGAAATTGAACTCAGAGCAAAACAAAGTGAAATAACTTGCAATTTTCTTCGGATTTATTTGAAAAGTTTTATTACTGCAGGAAGAAATCCATTGGAATTAGGTATGAAGGAAATGATTGTTTATTATTAATATTGATTTCATTGTAGCTGGCTGAATCGAAGGCTCAACTGATCATCTTGTGCTGTTGTTATCGATCAATCTAACGTAATCACTCAGGTGCGAAGGAGCTTTTCTTTTACGTACTGCTCGCGTTGTCGCTGTTGTTCCAGCTGGTTTGGTGGAAATCTTCCCGGTGTCTGCTGGTTGACGAACTGTTCGTGTTGACTCTGGTGCCTCAGCTGGTTTAGTGGAAGTCCGGCGGGATTGCTCGGTGTCTGCTGATTTACTGCTGCTGCGCCAAGGAGATACCTTTTTTGTTTGGGAAACATGGCGTTTTAATACCTGCCCTTCATCGTCATTGAGGACAAGACTGCCGTTTCTTTCCTGAATGACTGTATACCGTTTAGGAGCAAAACGAGATTCTCCTTTCGCGCGGATGTGTCGTTCGACGATTACCATGTCTCCAGGCTTTACCCTGCACTTCCGAGCACCACGTCGGGTATCTTCACGAAGTTTACTTGAAAGCTTCGATTCTCGGTCGGTTTTTTCGAATAGTTCCTCATCGAATGTTGCTTTCCCGTGTCGCAAGAGAGGAAGCTTACGCTTGATTTTACGTCCAAGCATGACTTCTTCCGGTGGTACTTTAGTGATGCTGTGCGCCGCAGCGTTATGCGCATTAACTGCTTCCCGTAGTTCTTCGACGAAATTTGTTTTATCGATCGAAGCTGCGACCATCGCCTAATTTATCACTTTCATGCACGATTCCACCAACCCGTTCTGTTGTGGAAACAAGGG